CCACCTCGCCCGGCTAGTTTTTTGTATTTTTTAGTAGAGACGGGGTTTCACCGTGTTAGCCAGGATGGTCTCGATCTCCTGACCTCATGATCCACCCATCTCGGCCTCCCAAAGTGCTGGGATTACAGGCTTGAGCCACCGCGCCTGGCCAACGTAACGATTATTTTAAAACAGATAATTAGCTTCTTTTTTCTTTTTTATTTACTTTATTATACTTTAAATTCTGGGATACGTGTGCAGAATGTGCAGGTTTGTTACATAGGTATACATGTGCCACGGTGGTTTGCTACACCCATCAACCCATCATCTACATTAGATATTTCTCCGAATGTTATCCCTCCCCTAGCACCCCACCCACACACCTAAAGGCCCAGTGTGTGATGTTCCCCTCCTCGTCTCCATGTGTTCTCACTGTTCAACTCCCACCTATGAGTGAAAACTAGCTTATTTTTTCTACTAGATACCTGCAAAGAATAATGAAGAACTTGACAAGCAAAATTGACAAGGCTTGCTGTTGTTCCTCTAACCCATCTGCCATTTTCTGAACACACTGTAGCAGCTGGATCCTCAGAACCTGCAGAATATTATCAGGAAGCAGAGATATTCCTGGAGGCATATCATCTACCCTAAAACAGAAAGGGAAAAAAATAAGAAGCCTGTTGAAATATAAGAAGAAAATCTCTGGCATTTAAATGAACTTCATTTTCAGCCCAAATCCTAAAGAAGGTCTTTTATTCATTCCAGATACTCTGTGCTTTCTTGTCTGCAACACACCACCAGATGATTAGTAACTAGAAGATTATTAGAGCAGAGTGGTTTTTCTTATTTCAGAAGAGGCTTACTAAAGAGGGCAACAGAGAGACTATTTGATATCTTCAATTGTACTATTTTTAATGAAAATATTTAGAATAAATTAATTTATGTTCCACTTAGAAATACTATGTATACTAAATACTGTGTATAGCAGTGTGCATATCATTTCTAAAAGAAACAATAACTGTAAAATAAAAATGAAGTATCTACATAACTAATTTAATATCTGTCAACTGTTGGCCAGGTGCGGTGGCTCACACCTATAATCCCAGCACTTTGGGAGGCTGAGGCAGGCGGATCATGAGGTTAGGAGCTCAAGACTAGCCTGGCCAACAAGGTGAAACCCTATCTCTATTAAAAATACAAAAAATTAGCCAGGCGTGGTGGTGCACCTGTCCCCAGCTACTCAGGAGGCTGAGACAGAAGAAT